ATTGGGCTGACTGCATGGCTGGCCACCCCAGGCAACCCATGAGGTCCGCACAATCTAAACACATTTTGTGTTATATAAATATTTATTTTTTAGTTCTGTATGTGTTAAATTATTATATAATACATTTATACTTGTTTGGCAACTCTCAATACGTCCAAGGCTCACATGTGGAGGGATATCTCTGAGTGACTCGGAGATTGTTGGATAGAGCAGGTCTGTGCTTGGTATTCTCTGTCAGTGATATACCACACCTAGTGATGCTGCTAACTCAGCACTTGTCCAGGGTGTAGCAGGAACATCACAAGACATCAGGGATGTCTAAGGCATAGCGGGAACATTATGAAATATTAGTGATGTTGCCTTAGCAACATCACTAATATCTTCACCTGTACAACACTCTCCAGACATTATAATGAGAATTTCTATTATTGTAATTTGTCATATAACAAATAAACATTGTGATATGTATTAATAATGTATTTGCACTTAATTTCATGCAAATAGCAATCCACCTGTACTTGCGTGTTTTTTTGGTGGAGGGGGAAGTTTCTGAAAATTATTTTTCCGTTGTTTGACGTGTGATTTTCTTGAAATTAAACCACATTTCAGGATGCAGCCTAACCAATATTTGTGAAAGTGGAAGAAAATTTAGCAATATCTACCTCATCTACTGGTGCTCAATTCATTGATTTCATTTTACTTTCACTATTCAACTAAAACGATTGTACATCTTTAAAAACTCTAACCTTTGTTATTTATGAACTTATTTTTATTAATTTTACATATGTTCTTCATATGTAGATCTGCAATTTGAAAAGAAGAAATTTTAATTTTAAAAATTATATGCTGAGTTACGGATTTTTAAAAGTGTAGTTTTTGTGCAAAATGATGGGTCTCGTTTAACTATATTGTTCAGCAACTAAATGGTTTTATGTAATATCCTCTTCCAGAATATTACTTTGGACTTTATTCATCTAGTAAAATACAATATTTTAAATATCAATTAAGAGATTGTATAATTGAATTTTTTAAAATATTGCCTTTTATCCATTTCCTTTTGGGTTACAATGCTGACACTTGGGCTGGAGGTTCATCTTATAGGCTACATTTTGTAAATAAAGTTTTATAAAAATTGGAAGTGTTTGAATGTTACCCATAAGAATGAATGTGATTCAAGCCTCTTAAAAACTGTAAATTTATTGTTGTAATATTTACCACTAAAGCTATGTAATTTAACACATTACAGTAATCTGTCCCATTTAGCATTAAGTACAGAATCACTTTAGAAAACTATGCATCATTTACTAAATTTCATAGAAAAAAATTACATTTATATAAATATAACATCTCATAGTTGTACTTATCATCCTATAAATGTACTAATTAAAACATTTGCATTACATGTAATCTTAAGGTTTGCTTAAAACACAACACATGATTAGTGGCTTTACAAAATTCATATCCTGTGTAAGTTTTATATACATACTGTATTAAATAATAATAATATTGAAAATCATTTTGAGGCGATGTAGTCACTGGAACCCACAGTCTGGTGAATCCCAGACACCTGCCCTAACATGGGTTCGAGTCAGGAATTCCTTTGCAGTCCCCGTGGCATAGTGGTAAGACACTCGTCTGGCGTTTCGCGAGCGCTTTGGCCTGGGTTCGTATCCTGGCCAAGGAGAATTTACTGGGCACCAATCCTTAACTGTAGCCTCTGTTTACCAAACAGTAAAATGGGTACCTGGTTGTTAAAGGATTTAGTGGGTCGTATTCCGAGGAAAATTAGGAATAAGGACTTCCCCAAAAAGCTATGTGTGCTAGTGGCTGTACAAGAATGTAAGAACTCTTGTATATATATAAATAAATAAAATAAATAAAATAATAAACTGTGATTTTTGGGGGGAATAATAATAATATTTGATTCCGGGAGCATTTATGCACCAGAATTTTAGAAAGGCAACTAGATTAAGAGGTGGTAATTCCCCATCAATACTAGACTTAGTACTCACAAGGAAGGAAAAATAAATATTTGTGATACAATATGTGATACAATATTGACACCTGTTGTCAAGAGCATGATTACAATAATGATAAAGTACCCTAGTTGGCAAAGCATGTTCAAGTAATAACCTTTAATCAACATAGAATCTGTTATCAACATTGATTCATCATTGACTCTAATTGTTTATGTATATGAGTTGGGTGACAAGACTCAAAGACTTTAGCAGTTTTTTATGCTAATTTAATATAGTCTTAATAACTGCAATTGGTTGTTGGAAATGTAATGGCGTGTCATGATTGTCAAGACAAAACCTGGAGTAGAAAGCTTGAGTGAGGCGGTGATAGAAAGCTTGGATGTGGGGCGAGAGCATGGAGCTCAAATGCGGGGCAAAATCTGGAGACTCAAGTACAGCCAGAATCTGGTTGTTTGCTCTGTAGTGAGGCTGAAGCATCTTGTGAAAGTGGGAACTAGACTCGTTATTTTCCCAGATTTGCCAAGGGAGTTAAGTGTGTTATCAAGTATGATATTGTGGAGTGCAGAGTGGAAACTTTAAAATTGGATCACGAGAAAGGAAAGTATGTGGCACTTAGGAGCACTTCAGAGATATTGAGTGGGGACTATAAGCTGCAGGAAATTATTCTCAATAAAATTTATGCAAAATTTTTAGATATGTACGAAGGGTGTTTATGAGTATGTTCTACAGTAATGAGAGACAATTAAAAAAGGTACATACTACATATTACATAAATATTACAGGGCATACTGGAAAGCCATGGAGGAAACGTAGATGCAAGGAAACATTAAAGGAATTTCATAAACTTAACAAATGTGCCAGCAATATAAACAAGCTTGAAATTTGTACAGTATAGGATGATACGGGCTATAGGGAACAAAACTTTGAAAAGTGATTGTGGAAAAGAGTGAGAGAGATCGTAACATTTGTTTTGGGTGGACTCATTTAATAATTAAAGTGCTGGTCTGGCCAAACCTTAGGGAGATGAACCAGGCCTCAAAGACTACCCTTGCCTACTGGGAACCATGACCAGAATTTAACTCTCTGCAAGGCATGGGGATCAGAGATAACCTCATACCAAGAAATGACCCCTACTAGAAAGTATAAGCACAACAAAAGCTACTGCTTGAAGAAAATTACAGAACAATTTTTGGCCGTAGTGCATAGGAGCAAAAAGCAACATTACAGAGGAACCTCGTGTGGTGAGCAGCCCCATCTACGAGCATTTCAGGTAATGAACGAGCGACTTGCAAAAAATTTGTCTCGATTGAAGTGCTTCTGTTCGATTAATGAGAAAATTACGGGGTGCTTCCTAGCATTCCTGCTGTTTCTCGCAAATTCTTGGACGCCTCCGACGACATTATTATTATTGTTTTATCGCACAGGACAAGCATCCCTCTGCATTTATTTGTGTTTTTGTGGTTTTGTGACTACAGTTTGTAACCCACGATGTTGCCAAAGAAGCTGCTTCCTAAAGATAGTGTTGTCAAGAGGAAGAAAGACACAATTACTATAGATTTGAATAACAAAAATTGCCCAACTCAGAGATGGATTCTCCTTCCCACACTGTAACCATTCTCCTCCTCCCCACCTCCCCATCGTCTCCCTCAAGCCAGCAACGACTCTTCATAAGGTAAAGGACAATTGAAAACAGTAAAACAAAACATTTATAATAATTACATGTATTATAATTACATTATAAAATTTCATATTTATGTTTTTTGGGGGTGGAACGGAATAATTTTATTTCCATTATTTTAAATGGGGAAATTCGTTTCGCAAGACGAGCATTTCACATGATGAGCTCAGTGCTGGAATGGATTAAATTTGTTAATCGAGGCTCCTCTGTATTTGTAAGAGAACAGGTTGGCTCATCATGCAACAACAAATTGTTTAGTTATGCTCAACATGTGGCAGAATACTGTTTACTTATGCTCAACATGTGGCAACACACTGTTTAGTTATGCTCAACATGGAACCACATTGTTTAGTTATGCTCAACATATAGCAACACTGTTTAGTTAAGCTCAACATGTGGCAACATACTGTTAGTTATGCTGAACATGTGGCAACACTGTTTAGTTAAGCTCAACATGTGGCAACATACTGTTAGTTATGCTCAACATGGAACCACATTGTTTAGTTATGCTCAACATACAGCAACACTGTTTAGTTAAGCTCAACATGTGGCAACATACTGTTAGTTATGCTCAACATGTGGCAACACACTGTTTAGTTATGCTCAACATGTGGCAACACACTTTTTAGTTATGCTCAACATGTGGCAACACTGTTTAGTTATGCTCAACATGTGGCAACACACTGTTTAGTTATGTTCAACATGTGGCAACACACTGTTTAGTTATGTTCAACATGTGGCAACACACTGTTTAGTTATGTTCAACATGTGGCAACACACTGTTTAGTTATGTTCAACATGTGGCAACACACTGTTTAGTTATGTTCAACATGTGGTAATGCACTGTTTAGTTATGTTCAACATGTGGCAACACATTGCTCTAAATATGGTAACACACTGTAACATACGCAAGTCTGAAAACTGTATGTATCTTTACTAAGAGGAAGATGTAACAGTAGTTCTTTAAATATTATATATCTGAAAATAATTTATACTGTATTTGATTAAATATTTCCTGAAAGTTTTTGTTAATGCCTGAAAAGCATTTGTAGTTATTTTGTTGTCAGTATTTTTTTTATCAAGTGTACGAAAGGCATTGAAAATGTTTTACTGTGGTTGAATACCCAATGTATAGTAACAGGTACCAGTACTGTACTGAAAATTTGTTTAAGGATCCATTTTATTTATGTATATACAAGAAGGTACATTGGGGGGATGTGAACGAACATACATTGGTGATTGAGTGGTACAATCTTCCAAAGCCACTAACATGTATAGTGTGCTAAAGCATAAAGTTCTCACTCAGTTATGTTTTCACAAATTTACTTCTCCAATATTTACAGACTTACGCCTCTCCCCCGAAGTTTATAACCAACTTCGGGTGCTACAGAAGAAGGCTAAGGAGCTTAGAACTGATGTTAGAAATCTCAGAAAGACATCACAGGCTAATGCGTTGACTATGAAAGAAATTCTTCGGGACACTGTCACCAAGATAACGTAAGGAATGCTTTATTTTTTATCATAGTGCTATGTTTTTCTGCTCTATTTTATACTGTTATATATATATATATATATATATATATATATATATATATATATATATATATATATATATATATATATATATATATATATATATATATATATATATATAAATAATAAATAAATAAATGTTTATTCAGGTAAGGTACATACAAGAGATTTTACAAAAATTTATAGATTTATAGATAGAGCTAGTACATACAATGTCTAAAGCCACTATTACACAAAACGTTTTGGGCAGCATATATATTCGGGCATATATATATTCATATACATACTTGACATACATACATACATACATATACACACATTAGATTAGATACTGTATATAGGTATATACAGTAATGCTATATTTTTATCGTTATGAAATTATGCTTTCCAATTAGAATTGTAAGTCAAATATATATATATATATTGTTTGTGTAATGCATAGTACAGTATTATAATTAACAGCAAGACCAACTTTAGGATAAATAAATTCAACTTGACAATGTTTCAAAAATTCTTTTTCATCTTTAGGTTTATGAAAAGAAGATCAAATTTGCAATAATATGCAAAAGAATAGTCATTGTTTTTACCTTAATGTATCATTCAATTTTAATGAAATGTATAAATAGATTAGGCACTATAAATGAAACAGCATTTGTGATTAAAATGTCCTAAATTTTAAACTTTCACTGCTCCAATTGCCGGCATGATTAGGAGAGTTTCTTTTATTATGCTTATATGGTATATGAGTTTTTCCTGTTGCTTTCACTAAAATGAATGTAATAATTCTACACCAAGCATGTTTATGGCCATTATTTTTTTATAAGCTAAATGCAATATCTGCACTTTTAAACTTTTATACACACTGTACAATCTGGAGACATTAAGCTCAGGAATCATCAAGTGCAAGGTAAAGAAAGTTTATATGAGAGTAGATGCACTGTAGTAGACAAGGCATAGAACAGTCATGAATGGCACCCCATTCTCCCACGCTGTCTCCTCCCACTGACCACAGTAGTTATTACTATGAAGTGGCAAACCACCCTGAGCGATTCAAGGCGTCTTGCAACTCTTTTTAACAGCAATTAAATGTAATCCAGTCATATGCAATGTGACCCAAAATTGGCTAATTATTGTCCTATGTAGGGACAAAAATTACATAGAAAATTATCAGGGGGAGAAAAATGAATTAACTTAAATATAATAACTATAAACAATCATTACTCCTCAGGACGCTGCTACAGTCCAACGAGGCGTGTTTACTGCAGGGGTCAGCGGACGCGGAGAGGGTCAGGATACAGCGTGAGGAGGCCTCATACAGGCAAGATATGACCAAACTGGATAAGGATCTCTGGTAGGTAGTGTCACGGATGCTTATTATTGGTGTCAAGGCCCTTTCTCCACTACTCAGCTCTCCACATTTAATTATCTACAACTGCCACAGCTTGTTATAAACTACTTATATTAATTGAGGCACGGCCTGGCATTATGTAATTCCATGGTGGCCATGTTCCTAGGCTACAACTCTGGTTTGAATATTCTTTTACTGTACTATCTAGAGAAATGAAGCTTTCAATTGAACCAAAGGAAATTCAAGGAGTAGGGAAACAGCTGAGTAGCGACATGAAAAAAAGTTTTATTTATAAAACAAACATACATGATTTATTACATGGCATAATTCACTCCTTACAACTTCAGGTCCTTCTGATTGTTAAAACACTGTATCATATCATCCATCCCGGGGCTCCGGTCACCCTGTAGATCTAGTCCAACACTGTATCAGTACACATACCCACCACACCTGTTAGCATGTGACACATCTCCAGAAAACAGGAGGTGCTTTTTCACCCATAGGGTTGTAATCCCGTGGAACCGCCTCCTCGGCGAAGCAGTGAACGCCAGAACTCTGCTGGGTTTTAAAATACAGCTCGAAAAGACCATCAGGGCAAATTGGGGGACCTTTGACAAGCTACCAGCTTCCAGTCCTCATCGAGGCCACTAGTATTAATAGTCCTCAGGTAAATTCATACTGTATATATATATATATATATATATGAATTTACATAATTCATTCTGTAAATTCATATAGTTCATATATGAAATTTATGTAAATTCATATAAATATGGTAAATTCATATAGTATTAGTAGCCCTCAGGTATGTATATATACAGTGGTACCTCGGATTACGAGCGTCCTTGTTTACGAGTTTTTCGGATTACGAGCAGGATTTGCTCGGATAATTTACATCGGAATACGAGCGTTGCCTCGAAATACGAGGGTGCTGATGCGTATACAGGCCGACCTAGTGCGTGGTTACACGGCGATCGCCCCTCAGTTTACCAGTGCCTCGTGCCCAGTGACTATCCCGCCTGAATTCTTCATCAGGATTTACAGTGTTTTGTTGGATATTTGACCATTTGAGCATAAAAGTTGTTATTATATATTTTGCAATGGGTCCCAAAAAATCCAGTGGTAAGATTCAACCTAAGAAAATAGTTGTGAGTAGAGGCAGTAGATGATGCCCCTTCCTCATTAAGAAAATGTGTGAAGTATGGGAAGAACTGCAAAGTTTTGTTGAAAAAACTCGCCCAGATAAAGCTGTAGCAGGCCGTTGCATTGACCTTTTAAATGACAGTGTGATCTCTTACTACAGACAAGTGTTAAAATGTAGGGAAAACAAATGTCTTTAGACACTTTCTTAGTAAGACAAGCAAGCAGTGAGCCACAAGCACGTCCTAGTGGTATGCAGGCAAAATGTGCCAGAGAATGCACTCCAGAGAGGTCCTCACTGCCTGATGTTATAATGGAAGGGGACCCCCCCTTCCAAACAGTAACACCTCTCCTCCTCCCCCTCCTCACCATCTTCCATATGCCAACAGCAGTCATCAGCAAGGGTAAGTAATAACTTGAACACACTTTTGTAGTGTAGATTTCGATGAATTAGGTAGGAAATTTAGTTTGAAGTGAGGTTTTAGGGTAGTTAGGAACGGATTAATTCATTTCCCATTATTTTTATGGGGAAATTAGCTTCGGTTTACGAGTTTTTGGATTACGAGCTGTCTCCAGGAACAGATTAAACTCTTAAACCAAGGTACCCCCGTATATATATATATATATATATATATATATATATATATATATATATATATATATATATATATATATATATATATATATATATATCTACATATATATATATATCTACATATATATATATATATATATATCTACATATATATATATATATCTACATATATATATATATATATATATATATATATATATATATATATATATATATATATATATATATATATAGAGAGAGAGAGATCTACACTACATATATATATATATATATATATATATATATATATATATATATATATATATATATATATATATATATATATATATATATATATATATATATATACATACATACATACATACATACATACATACATACATACAGTGGCACCTCGACATACGATTGCCCCTACTTACGATATTTTCGAGTTACGATATAAATTTCATTGAAAAATGCGACTCGACATCCGATATTTGTTGGTACACGTTCGGGTCGACTGAGCGCGTGGTTCCCGGTTATGCGGCCGACCTGCCTCAGTTTACTACAGCTGCCTGCTTAGTGACGATCACGCCTATAAGAAATTCAGCTTTTGTGGTGATCTTTTGCATTTTGAACATTAAAGTAATTATTTTATATATCGCGCCATGAGTCCCAGGAAAGTCAGTGGTAAGGCTCAACATATGAGATCCCATGTAAGAATGAGTATAGAGCAGAAACAAGAGATCATTCGTAAATATGAAGATGGTGTGCGGGTAGGTGAACTGGCTAGGCAGTACAACAAATCTCGATCAATGATATCCACCATACTGGCTAAGAAAAAGGACATTATGAGTGCTATAGTGGTAAAAGGTGTATCAATAATCACGAAACATAGAACACAAACACTTGAGGATGTTGAACAGTTATTATTAATTTGGATACACAACAAGGAGTTAGCGGGTGATAGCATTTCGGAGGCCATCATTTGTGAAAAGGCATGAAAATTGCATGAAGACCTTTTAAAGAAAACCCCTGGAACGAGTGATGCAGAAGTGAAAGAGTTTAAGGCGAGCAGGGGATGGTTTGAGAAATTTAGAAAAAGAAGTGGAATTCATAGTGTTGTGAGGCATGGGAGGCTTCCAGCGCAGACAAACCAGCGGCTGAAAGATTCATTGGCGAATTTAAATATTTTGTGCAGAGTGAGGCATACCTACCACAACAAGTGTTTAATTGTGACGAGACAGGGCTAGTCTGGAAAAGATTGCCAAAGAAAACATACATTACCAAGGAGGAGAAGTCATTGCCTGGACACAAGCCTATGAGAGATCGGTTTACTCTTGTGTTGTGTGGTAATGCGAGTGGCGATTTGACAGCTGAGGAAATTTCTTCAGGGGAGGATGTGCCAGTAGAGAATGTTTCTTCCTCAAAAATTAAGAAAATGTGTGCAATATGGGAAGAATTGCAAACCTTTGCTGAAACGACTCACCCAAATCAAGCTGCAGTAGGTCGTTGCCTTAACCTATTCAATGACACTGTGATGCATCATTACCGACTAATGTTAAAAAGAATGGAAAAACAAATGTCTCTTGACAAATTTGTAGTGAGACAAACAAGCAATACCCCCACACATCTCTGTATTAACAGATAATTTATTATAAAGATTGTCCCCCTTTATACCTCTCCACAGGAGGTAAGGTTCGTAATAGGTAGCATAATATATTACACCTGAGAATAGGTAATTCAATAAAAAGTTATCAGACTAAGAGAGATGTCTTCATAGTTGAATATGACTAACACAGAAACCCAGTTGAAATTATTTTTGTTTATCTATTAAACTAAGTGGTCTGAATAGAAATGGCAAGAAACCCAGTGATGAATGTAATGAAATGCCTCTTTCTGGTAGAGCTTCAGTAGCTCCCCTGAAGCTATCTTGCTGGGATTGCACCATGCTAATTGGTCATATCAGTCGTGGAAATTCCGTTTGACCTAACAGAAACCAGAGCCAGAACCTGGCCCTTCCTTACAGAGGCGCAAGGAGCAAGTGACAATTGGCCACCCCACCAAGAAAGCATCCAGAAAGCCAACAAAACTTTACAGAAAACTGGAGGGTTCACAGAAAATAAAGCCTCAAAACTGCCAAAGAACTCCACCAAGGATTTACACAGAACAAAAGATTCACTCAAACTTGCTCGAAACTCGCTAGTAATGATTGCCACTACAGTACCAAGTGGCCTGGCTCCTGCCTACAACCAGGGTCCCCAAGTCAGTTCTGGAGCTGATTAACAACACATCGATTAACCAGTGAACTTGGAAGAAAGGGTTTAAATTAACTAAATTCAGGAGCCACCAGAACCCCACCAGAAAGAGATATTTCATTACATACAGTGCTGGGTTTCTGGGGAAGCCCTCCCCTGGTGGATCCGTGAAGCTAACTACTGTAACCACAGAGAACAAAAATGGAATTTAACAGGGAGGAGAGGTGCCAGGCACTAGGATGAAGAAGAGAACCCAAGACAGGAGAAAAGGCCCAAAACAACATATGACCTACTAGGACTAGGAAGATTAACTAAATACCGGGCCGCCAGAACCCTGTTAGAATGCCAAAACCCCGGAACCTGAATAGCAACCCAGACTGTGTTGGAGATTACAGTAGCTAAAGCCACATACAGTATTTACAAATGTCAAAGGCCGGAAGGTAGAGTGCAAGCTGATTAGATTTACTAAAACTGTGAACAACTTTGGAAATACAAGCCCTGGAACAGGGGACCAAGGAAACAGGATCAACCAGCAAGGCATTTATGGAGACAGAACTGGTAGCCCACTGGTAGCCGCAAAAAATCCCCTCTGGACACAATAATTGATGCACCTCTGGCTGAACCAACCAAGCATCAATTACCAAAGGACCCCTCCAGAAGCCAGTTGGCTCATTCTTCGCCAGAAAAGAAGAAGCCAACAAAACACAGCCTGAGAAAGATATTATGAGCCAAAGGGAAAAAGAGAGACCAAAACCTTGTCAAGAGTCCAGGATGGTTCAGGAGTGAGGAAGAGCTGGCTTTAGGGGAAAAATCACAAGAAAGAACTTGTGAAACAGCACCAAGGAGATATTGATGCCAAATGCAAACAACAGTTGATCCACCATTGCCGAGCATTAAGAAGTGACAGTATTAGGCATGAGGTGCCAATATAGAAACTACCAAGACATATAGGACAGAATGACCCTGACTGAAACTAAAAAAATACAACAAAGAGACAGATAGCAGTGATAGACATGCATAAAACATTCCAGACGTAAAGAGCAGAGAAGGTTGATCCTGCCAAATATATTGTTGAGCTGATTTAGTGAAATAGGCACAGCTGTGGGAAAACACCCAGGTTCAGTTAACGAGCAAGAATCACTGGATACCAAGGTTGTGATTGCTACCAAGGAGCCAGAAGGACCATCCTCCCCCAAGAACAACTTAAGACAGAACAAAACCTGGAGCAACAATTGAACCCACAGAAAAAGTTAAATGCACCCCTCACCACAACCAGTCCAGCAGAAATATATCCACAGTGAGAGCCTTGCAATTAGGGAATGGAGTCACACAGGAGGGCAGGCACCAGTTCCACATCAACCAACTCAGGGCGACCAAACATCTTGCAGAGCCAGCGGAAGGATGCTCTATTTATGCTCCACTCCATGGAAATGGGACGAAGGCAAGATAACCCTGTCACCCCTCCAGTATGTTCCAGTTTGCAGAACAACCTCTTATGTGGGACTCTGTCAAAAGCTTTTTTTTTTTAGTGGCTTTTTTGTGGCTCACACATGACTTGATAATGGTCCAGGACAAACCAAAACATTGTCATTTCTTCATTTTCTGATATTGGGTTTGGTCATCATATCTTCAGCCACATGATTGTGACTCATTATCAGCCTTTTTTTTTAGGTCCAAACAGATGAAGTCTACCCAATCATCTCTTTCCTGTAAAATCTCTATGGCTCTGTCTTTGAAACTAAGTAGATTTATTACGCAGGATATTTCTGATCGAAAGCCATACTGTCTGTTATTATGTCATTTTCTTCCAGATAATCTGCACATTTCGTTTTAATTATTTGTTCTAGTATTTTGACTACCATGCTTGCCAGTTATACAGGTATGTAATTAAGAGAGTCTTCCCTACTACCATCTGTGTAGATTGGAACTATATTTGCCTTTTTTCATATATCTGCCAAGACTTCTGTACACAAAGATGACTGAAAAATAAATTGAAGTGGGGTGCTCAGCTCAGGTGCACATTCTCTTAAAACCCAAGGTAAAACTCCATCTGGGTCGACTGCCTTGTTTCTACATAGCTCCGTGAGAATTTTTTTTCCCACGTCATTTCAAGACACGTCTATGTACTCTGTTATTTTCTGAAATTCATATTGTGTCTGGTTCTCTCCAAACTTCATTTTGCATAAACACACTTTGAAATTGTTTGTTTAGTTTTCTGAGGGGAGCCCCTACGGCTCCCTGGAGCTTATCGGGCTACTGTATGTTATATTAGACCGGGACATTAGCTATGCAGTTCAGACCTATCAGGGACCATGAGCCAGAACCTGGCCCCTTCAGAGAGGTTTCAGGGGGCAATGGCCCTGGACCCCCCCTCCCCCCCGTGGTTGGGGTTTTTCCTTATCTGCCATTGACCGGGGTTAGGCACCCAGAAAGGTAGGCATAACAAAACAAACCCCACATGGCAAGAAACTAACAACAAAAACCGAACGGAGAGGTAGAACTCCCTTTAATCCCAAGGAAACAAGTAAACAAGCATACGTTTGTACTACCGCGCCGCAAGTCCGCGCAGCCCTCCCCGTCCTGAGAGGGGGAGGGGCCCCTGGACCTCACCCTGCTGGCTGCATAGCACTCCTGTTCGTAAGCTAATGTCAAATGGGACAGACGCTTCTCTGGCCTCAGTTTCCTAGGCGGTGTTTGCCTCCGTGGTGCTCACTGCCATATTTTTGTGTTGTATGGTGGCCAAATGTTCCTCATCAGTGCCGGGGCTGCATGCGCTTAGGGGCTTCCTTTCCTAAGCGCCCTTTGAGTACTGCCCCCTGCGTGTCGGGGTTATCTTCCCTGGGGCATTTGGGACCCGTTCCCATAGGGGTTCTTGCTGCTTGGCATATGCCTCGCCCTTGGGGCCAGCTGGGGCTTGGGGCCCTTGTTTTATCTTGGGTAGGGACTTGTATCGTGCTGGTTAGGGCATCAAGATGTTGGGCGACCTGCTACCTATGCGGCGATCGGTTCCTGTTGCCTCTGGGGACGGTGTACTTTTGCGGGGTTTCTCTTTTCTTTTTTCATTTGCCTGGTAGGGGTTTGTCTAGTGTGGCTATAGTTCCACTGGTATTGTTTAGTGGCTCTCTGCTAGGCCCTGTAGTTTCTACCTCTCTGTTCGGTTTTAGTTTTAGTTTCTTACCATGTGGGGTATGTTTTGTTATGCCTACCTTTCTGGGTGCCTAACCCCAGTCGATGGCAGATAAGGAAAACCCCCAACCACAATGGGGTTTTCCAGGGCCATTGCTCCCTGAAACCTCTCTGAAGGGGCCAGGTTCTGGCGCTGGTCCCTAGTAGGTCTGAACTCCATAGCTAATGTCCCGGTCTAACATAACATACATTAGCCCAATAAGCTCCAGGGAGCCTCCGGGGCTCACCCAGAAAATGGCTTTTCATTACATTCAACGCTGGTTTTTTTTATTGCTTGCCTAATGTCTGTTTCTTGCTGCTCATTTTTATTTTTGACTTGCAAACATTCATCTTTGATTGTTTCTTTCTCTTTTACAACTTGTGCAAATGTTTCTATCACTTCCTCTTTACACTTTTTCAATACCTCAGTAACCTACTCCAGTTGTTTACCAGGTGTCACTTGTCATATGCTTGCCTAACTCTCTGTTTTAGTTGGCTAGTACACAGGCACTGACATCTGCTCCAAACTTAATCTATTTTCCTATTAACTTCTTCAAATTAGTTCTCTTTTATTTCCCATGAGTCATATTCTTTCCCTAGTCCCATGATTTGTCATTTTTGTTCCCTTACCTTGTCAATCAAGCTGGAAATTTCCTTATCCTACTGCAAAATACTTTCCCTTAAAGTATTTATTTCACTTTTTAGGTCCTCATTTTTTTGTTATAATTTTAAAAATTTGCTTTTATCAAATTCTCAATCATCACTAACCTGTCAAGAAAACTATCTTTCATTATTTTATCCAGACTGAAACCCTTGAAAGTTCAATCTTGTTGTGTAGCTGCCCTATAGTAGTGGCCATTTTTGTTGACACAGTTTTTGTTTTAAATTACAACTTTATTTATCCTAAATTTTCACAAATTTGTGAATATTTGCTTTATTAAAAACAAATAAAATAATACTGTGTGCAAGAACAGTAGTGCAACAAGTGGAAGCAGATGGAGAAAAAATAAAAAAATATGGAAAGTTCTTGGAATCGATAAATATACTTTTGAATAAACAAGCATAAATATAAGATCAGCTTTAAGTTACAACTCAGTTAGTGCCAAAGCGCACAAAATAATTTAATTCTTTACACCACTATGTTCAACATGATTTTATTGATTATGAAAGAGGAAGACCAAGTTATTAACTTGTATATATTTTCACTAAGCCTTGAAAAAAAACAGTTTGTGCTTTTGCTTTATTTAAGTACATTTGTGGCATATTACCTTTTCCCGTTGGTGACAACAGGGCAGTATTTTTGCATATTAAAGTATGGCAATGTCCTCTGGATTTTTTCATTCTGGTACCATTTTACTTTCATGTTCAAACTTTAGTTTGCATTTCGTGGTGTTGATGCTTAAGATAAGATGCAGAATATATTTGATTTTGGAGTAAGTACAGTAGGATTAAGGTCAGTTGAAACAAATATACATTTTTTACGAGCCTCATATTGCAGGCATATTATATGCCTTGTCTGGCAGGCATATTATGTGCCGCATATAGTAGGTGTATTACATGCCTCTTATGGTCTCAGTAGTATAGTTGGGTTCATTCTCCATTCACAATTGGGAATTCTGGGTTTGGATCCCAGGTGGGACACAAATGGTTGGGCATGTTTCCATTTAACTAATGCTTCTGTTCACCTAGTAGTAAATAGGTACCTGGGAGTTAGTCAGCTTGTTGTGGAGTTGCATCCTTGAAAGGGTCAGTAGTACAACCTTGGGGGTACACTGATACAGTACTAGCATAACTTAAATATGCATACACATGCTGCCAGTCCCCTGACAAAATGAATTATGGTAATTATGTGCCTTTTTATGGTAGGTATGTTTATATTCTTCTTATGGCAGGTATAATATGTGATTCTTTTGGTAGGTGTACTATGTAAGACTTGTTTTCTTGGATAAATAACAGTGTGATGGAGAGTATGATCTAAGCATGTATGTAAACACAAACTCATCTTGTTGCATATTAATATGTATATATTTTTAAATATTTGTGCAATGTTAAAATTTGTATATGCTGTCTTAGATAATTTTCTTTGCAGTGACTTGGAGTTGAAGGTTGAGGAGCTACGCAACAATGTCATAAATAGGCGACTACGTGTTAATATGTCCGATGTAGAAAATATGGCATTAATATTATCTAGATCAAGGTAATAGAAAACTATCTATTATTAATTATTATTATTATTGTTTATATTCTGTACTTTTCACTGAAGAGTGTTAACGATAAGTACTTGTCCTACCTCTTGAGGTAGTAATTGAGAAGCTAACAAGTGCACTTTCAGAGGAACAGTATTTAGTTCTTGCACCAGTAATGTTCATCATTTATATAAATGATGAACCTGATGTACCTGAAGAAATTCAGAACTATGTAAACACGTTTGCTGAGGATACTAGGTTACTATGGAAGATCAGCCTATTCTCCTGTTTAGGTAGTACAGTGTGTATGTATATATATATATATATATATATATATATATATATATATATATATATATATATATATATATATATATATATATATATATATATATATATTTATATATTATTAAATATGACCGAAAAAGTAAGATTAATAATTCTAACACGAATTTTCTCGATCTTACGTATGTTTCTTTTCACTGTTGGTGGTAATTCAAAAATCAATTCTCCAAAATTCATTTTTATTTTATACCACCAACAGTGAAAAGATCGAGATCGAAAGATCGAGATATATATATATATATATATATATATATATATATATATATATATATATATATATATATATATATATATATATATATATATATATATATATATATATATATATATATATATATATATATATATATATATATATATATATATATATATATATATATATATATATATATATATATATATATATATATATATATATATATATATATATATATATATATATATATATATATATATATATATATATATATATATATATATATATATAAAATTTTGTAACAAATTGTAAAATTATTTGTTTTCTCAATGTAATGTAATTTTTTGTGTTTACTCCCAACAGTAAAACAGTAGCTGACCTGAAAGCAAAATTTCCAATACTTCAAGATGGTCTAAAAGGTCTTATATCTGCTGAAATGGAAAAAGCCATTTGTAATGAAAAGTAAGTAGTGTTGTTAGCTTTCAGATAAATAGGTGCACTTACATTGCTTAATTTAATACATTTCTATTTTGTTCACTACTATATTCTTCTATTCTCCTGTAATATAAAACATTTCATAATTCTAACATTTGTAATGGTCAAGATTAAATATTATGGGCAAGGAGTTTGCAGTGAACTTGAATACATGTTTTACCCTGTACTGTATATCAATAAAATGTTTATTAATTTATTTTATAGCATTATCAGACATTACCTTTTTCTTCTTCTGCATTGATGCCTCACTACCCCATGTAAGGAGGAAATGGGGTAATGAGGATAATCATATTGACTTTTGTTTTCTTTTTCTGCAAAGGAGTAGTTAAAACAATAATGTACTCTTGTATATGACTGTAAAATAATTCATTGCATGACATTTAACCTGATTTAGCAAATATAGGTACTAGGAGTATCTTAAAAACTTCCTCATCCATACATTCAAGTTTAATCTTACTGTAAAAACATGTTTTACGAACTTACATAAAGTTACAGCTCAATTTTCTCAGTGTAAAAGCATTATCCAAAAGTTGGACATTAGTTTGGATATGATACATTGAAGTTCCAACATTGTCAATAAAACAATATCTTTCTTTGTTCTTAGGTTCCTGAAAGAAGAGCCTGATAAATTGGATAGTGCACTTCGGCGTTGTAAGAAGCTCACTGGTACCTTAGTAACGCTTAAGAGGTAAGTCAGGAAAGGACTTGCATGTAGTAAAATATAAGAACTGTAGATCATGTAAACATAAACATCTTTAATAATAATATATATATATAAAAAAGGGGTACCACCTCTGGTGCAATTGTAGGGACCCACAGCCTCAAAGTAGGGAAAACAAAGATTTCAGAGAGAAACTTGTCATTTAAATCTGAGTACGTATGAGTGTTCACTTCTCCTACCACCCCTTTTTTTATGTTGTACACTTTATTATAGCGTGTATTAAAGTGCTGTTCACTTTATTATACAAGGTTATACAGTTATATATCTGATTGTTAACAAAAAATGAACATTAAGAGGAAATAAGGGGAAGTTTGTTTCCTAGAGACTAGATTTCTTCGAACTCCTCTGACGCTGGGCAGGAACCAAGGATGCAGCGGGCATTTCCCTTCTGGATCGCGACACTGAGGCGCTGGAAGAGAAAACTTGCCGCTCTTGAGTCTTTTGTAGTGTCAATGACCCTGGAACCAAGATCCTTAAGACATCTTCTTGCACTCTCTCCCCATAGACCTAGGGTCTCAGATCCTATTGGAACGAAGTTGTACCGGTGATCTAATTCCCTGTAATTGGTCGACTTGTATCTTTCTCTGTGTGTCGCTGTGGCTCCTGCTTGGCCGGCAGAGAGGTTGAGGTATGTGGTTGCCAGGATGGATACGCAAGTATAGTCCCACACCAGCTGTCTGCCACCCTTCCAAGGGCGCAGTGTGATACCGTCTGGTCGGTGGGCAAAGCTAGCAGTCATGGTTCAGTAGATTACGGGGCTCTCTCTCCACTGGGCACTGGGCAGAGGCAAGGCTCCTCTTAATCATGTCATTGACTTCGTCATGTCTAGAGTGCCAACCGCCTTATTTTCCACAGTGCAGACCATGCAATCCATATTCATCTGCATCTGCCTCGCCGCAAATACAAATGTGAACAGTGTGGATAGGGGCAGCAAGGCAGAGAGTGACTGCGATACAGAGCTGCTGTGGATCAAGACGTGTGCCTGTCGCAGACATAGGGACTGCCAAAAGAACGTCTCCTGCGTGGGGGAGCCTGCACGGCTTTGAGGCGTGCGTGATCACTGGGGTTGATCACCCCTTCCTCCAGCAAAGCTGTGGCTTCTTTGTTTACAATGAGGCTCTCCCGGCTGGATTATTTCTTGGCTTTCAGCATGGTTGGTCTGAGTGCTGGGTCTGCCATGGTAGCCCATTTTGTGTCACATTCCGTATAGTGGGAGTCCTGTATCCCTGCTAAGTCACACAGGTTGTCAGGTAGAATTTCCTTAACCAGGTCATCCAATACTGATGAGGAAGACAGGAAGACTGGGACAGCAATTTGGGTAGCAGTGTGGACACCCAAGCTGCCAAGCCTGACAGGGAGAGTGGCTTGTTTCGACTGGCATTCATTGAGGGAGAGGTTGACAACTTTTTCTAGCATGGTCTTGAGTAATAGGTCATACTCTTCAAGCTTTGGGCTGTCGTAGGATGGGGCGCACCTCAGAAAGTAGGTTAGCCTTGGAAGTGAGAGGCATTTAGTGAGGAGATAAAAAGCATCGTGAGCATCGATGTCACCTATCCTGTTTTCCATCCTCCTGAGGACTGTGATATTCTTATCAAGGATCTCATCAATGGCATTAGACCCGAGGGGGGCTCCAAGGAGAGTGCTGTTCACAACCCTAATGACATGGACTCTAGGCAAGGCGGTCTTTATTCTAGCTATGATGTCTGGGTTAGAGGAGAATACTTCACACTTGGAAGGATTCAGGAAGAGACCCAGGCTTACTTCTTACTCTCTTATTTTTCTGATGATTTCCAAGAGGTAGTCTAAGGGGACCAGCTATGGTGCCATCATCAAAAAACCAGATGTTGAACTCGCTGGACACGCTTGCCAAAGATTATTGGGGAATATAAGCCTGGATACGCGTATGGAAATGTCAAGACACATAAGCCTGGAAACCCACTTCGGCCAATCATCAGTCAGATACCCACACCCACGTACAGACTGGTGAAGCGACTTAACGGCTTGCTGACTCCTTATGTCCCTTGCACCTTCAGCCTGAAGTCTCCAAAGGAATTTGTTGACTTACTGCGGGGAACACGGGCCACAGGGATAAGAGCCTCGTTGGACGTAGAATCACTGTTTACCAACGTACCTGTGGATGAAACAATCGGGATGATAGCGGACAGAGTGTATCGTGATCCGGCCTGTACTCCTCTTGACATACCAGAAAACATTCTAAGGAAACTACTCCAAGCTTGTACTAAAGAGGCACCTTTCTTGAGCCCGGATGGGCACATGTATAAGCAAGTAGATGGGGTCGCGATGGGTTCTCCCCTAGGTGTCCTGTTTTCGAACTTCTACATGGGTACCATCGAACAAAAGGTCTTAGTCGACATGAACTTGAAACCGGCCATATACTGCAGGTATGTTGACGACATTTTTACACAGGTACCTGATGTCAGACATCTGCAGGAGCTGAAGGAGGCATTTGAGCGGAATTCTGTGTTGCGTTTCACTTACGAGATGGAGAAGGATGGGAAGCTGCCCTTTCTAGATGTAACAGTCATGGAAAGGAGCGGATGTTTCCACACACTGCAGTCTACACTAAGGAAACAAACATAGGAATGTGCCTCAATGCCAACAGTGACTGCCCAGACAGGTACAAGAGGAGTGTCGTTAATGCTCTCAGACACAGCTCAGGATGGAAGCAAGTCGATGAAGAACTCTGTAAGATAAGGCAGGTCCTAGTCAACAACGGCTTCTCCAATGGTTTCGTTGAAGACATCATAAGAAGGAAGGTGAAACGCCATGCAACCTCTGAAGAGACAACTAACACAACACCTGTACCCCCTATTAGACTATTTTACAGAAACTTCTTTTCCACAGCTCATAAAATGGAGGAAAGGGTCCTGAAAGATATTGTTAATAGAAACGTTATCCCTACAGACAAAAATCAGAAGGTACAATTGACGATCTACTATAAAACCAAGTAAACGGCCAATCTACTCATGAGAAACTCTCCAGACACAAAGCAGAACACTTTAAAAGAGACCAATGTCGTCTATGCCTTCAAATGCCCACTTGGGGACTGTAAGCCTCAAAGAATTCAGTATATAGGCAAGACAACAACATCTCTTTCTAGGCGATTAACAATGCACAAGCAACAGGGCTCCATCAAGGAACATATAATCTCTTCCCACAACCAGACCATCACCAGAGAAGTCTTAACAAACAACACAGAAATCATCAATAGATACAGAGATAGCAGGCGGCTTGACATCTGCGAGGCACTACACATAAAAAAATCAACACCAGCAATCAACAGCCAATTAATGCACAACTATATTCTACCCACTTCAAGACTCCATACCAATACAGAAACATCAAGAGGAAGTATGGGCCAATAGTCCCTTTGCAGTTACTTCCAATCTTCCCTCGCATTTATCCAATTAATACCCAATGTTCCGTGTTCTGTCTTGTGTTGGTCAAAAGTTTGTTCACCTCATCCAAAACTGTTGCAACATATCACCTCACCCAAGTGCGAGTATATAAGACAAGCTGTTTAGTGTTAGCATAAGCAAAACTAAAGTGTTAGTATAAACAAAAGTTTAGTGTTTTCAGGTTACATTTGTGTGTGTGTAAACTAAAATCTTTGAAAATGTAATAAGTTATTACGAAACGCGTTCAAGCGTCGCGTCAGACTAGAAATAAAAATGAATTTTGGAGAATTGATTTTTCAATTACTATCAACAGTAAAAAGAAATATAAGAAATGTTGAGAAAATTCGTGTTAGAATTATTAATCTTACTTTTTCGGTCATATTTAACAACATATGTTTACAAGAGAGACTGCTACCAAAATATACTAATTAATATATATATATATATATATATATATATATATATATATATATATATATATATATATATATATATATATATATATATATATATATATATATATATATATATATATATATATATATATATATATATATATATATATATATATATATATATATATGGAAGGGAGTACCACCTCTAGCTGGAAGAAGGGGGACCCATAGCCTCGGAGGAAACCACGCATAACGCATTAGAGGGAATGTTTAGATCCCCTCCAATACAGTTTCTGTGTGCTTTTCTCCTACCACCCCCTTCCTTTTTTATTTTTTGTGCTTTATTATGCATTTGATGGTTACAAGATATACATGGGTTGATACAAAAATAATAATGCAAAAAGGTGCTTAAAGGTTATGGATCTCTTGAAAAACACAACAATGGGAAACATTGATGAATGTCACAGACGGGTTCGATCATTGTTGCAAGTCAAACACTTCTTCGAATTCCTCTGAAGTTGGACTAGTGCCCAAGACGCAACAGGCATTTCCCCTCTGAATCGCAACACTGAGGCGCTGGAACAAGAAACTTTTTGCTCTCTGGTCTTTTGTAGCGCTGATCAATTTGTCCCCCAATTCCTTCAGGAACTTCAATGCACATTTTCCCCACGAACCGAGGGTCTCCGAGCCGATTGGAACAAAGCCGAGCCGATCGGAACAAGCCGATCGGAACAGTACCTATATATATATATATATATATATATATATATATATATATATATATATATATATATATATATATATATATATATATATATATATATATATATATATATATATATATATATATATATATATATATATATATATATATACACATATATACAATGGGGCCTCGACTTACGATGCTAATCCGTTCCCTGAGACGGATCGTAACTCGAAATATCGTAAGTCGAAGCGATTTTTCACATAAGAAATAAAGGGAATTGAATTAATCCATTCCCCACCCTCCAAAATATTAACATACAAATACATTTTATGCTGAATACAATGTTTTTTTCTAACTACAATACAGTACCTAAGTTGATCTTACCTTTATGGAGGGCTCTTGATGGCGTATGGAAGATGGTGATGAGGGGGGAGGAGGAGAGTT